GTTCTGGATGCAGCCTCTCCAGCGGTAACTGATTGCAATGTGATCGATCTACGTCCAAGGCTGGGGGGCGCAAAGTCACCCTCCGGCGAGTGCTGTGTCGGAAGTTATTGCTCGCAAGAAATAAGCGGGCATCTTCACACAAATGAAGTAACCACTCACCGTTATCATTACGAGAGTATTGATGCATTCTTTTAAAAGTTACCGGAAGTTCGCTGAGCGTTTCCAACAACACCTGATTCATTTACGACTCCAGAGAGATCGCTACAGTGATAGATTCTTCTTGCTGGCGCTGCTGGCCTTCTAATAACCGGGAAAGTGCATCAGCATAACAAATGTCTTTTGTAGTAATGTGTTTCACCGTAAAGTCGTAGCCGAGTAACGTAGTAGCCCACCGCTGCAACCTATTCGCCGTATAGACAGGGATGCCCGACTTTGATCCGAAAACTGCCAACAGCCGCTTATGTTCAGTAAGAATTGTGAAGTTCCTTCCGTACAGCATTTTGTGAAATTTCTCTACAGCGTAGACTATTGCCAAGGCTTCTTTCTCTATCTGGCCATAATTTCGCTCTGCCGCAGACAGCAACCGGGCTGCATGTGCGATTGCCTTTGCTGAACCATTTGCGAACTTATGGGCAATGACTGCGCCAATGCCATAGTTCGAGGCGTCTGCGGCCACCACAATCGCAAAGTTGGATCGTAATATGTTAGCAGAAGGTAGGAATACAGTAGCCTTTTTACCTCGTCAAATGAGCTTTGGCATTGTTCGGACCAGTTCCAGTGTTTATCCTTGGTCAGCAGGTCACTGAGTGGACCACGCAAGCGATGCATGTGCGGTAAGAACGGGCTGTAATGGCTTATGAGTCCTAGGAAGGACCTTAGCGTTGCAACATCTTAGGGTGGCGGCATCTTCTTGATTGCCTCGATGCTCGCTGGGTGTGAACGCCTGCCGTTCCTGTCGATTAACCCGAGAAACGTAATCGAGTTCATGAAGAAAGTACACTTCTAAGGTCGGCGTCTGAGTTCATATTCTTCAACACGATCAAGAACTCAATCCAACTTTGCGTATAGACCATCAGCACTGCCTCCGACAACAATGATATCGTCCAGGTATGCGGCTGCTCCATCGACATCTATCAGCATTGTGTCCATGATCTGCTGGAATGTGGCTGGTACAGACTTGACTCCAAACAGGAGACGATGATACTAGTACAAGCCTCGATGCGTATTGATGGTGAGTACTTCTCGTGAAGCTTCATGTACCTAAAGCTGCAGATATGAATCAGAGAGATCCAGCTTTGCGAATCATTTGCCACCATTCAATTTTGCGAACAAATCATCTGGGAGCGGTAAAGGGTACTGATGGGCGTTCAGTGCAGCATTTAGACCCGTCGATAAATCGGCACATATTAGAATCCGACCGTTTGGCTTTTTGACCACCATAATGGGTGCCGCCCAAGACAAGTAGTTCACCGGGTGGATAACCTCTGCTCTCTCTAAGCGATCCAACTCCTGGTCAATCATTGATGTTGCTGCGTAAGGTACAGCGCGTATTGTACGAAACACTGGAACAGCATCGGACTTAAGGGATAGTGAAGCTCGTACTTTTGTGCACTTACCGTGCGGGACTTCGTATGCTCTGGGCATTAAGACGCAGTTTCTCCACATGGTCCGAAGAAACCGTCCCTCGTCTATTCACCTCGCTCATTAGACCAATCCTTGAATACGTTGCCCCAGCTTACCATCCGATAACCCAATGGGAAACTGAAAAGCTGGAGGAAATACAGCATATCGCAACTAGGATGATACCAAGTCTACGAAAGCTTCCGTGTGAAAAACGTTGTGAAACGCTCGGACTCTACACACTATCCTATCGCCGAGTAAGAATTGATCTTATTATGACCCATCGAGTACTACACTTGAATCACTTCCCCATACTGCGGCCAATATTTCACCTGCGAGAACCCTGTAACACCCGAGGACATCGTTACAAACTCAGGGTCCCCAGCATGAACAAAGTATCACATCAGCTTTGTATCGAACGAAGAATCGTAAACTTATGGAATACACTACCTGAAGGATTAATAGAGGCCGATTCTGTGAAGTGTTTTAAAACCCGTATCGACGATTATTTTGGAAACCTGTGCTTTTGTGAAACGATGCACATACAGTGCCAAAAGAAGACATTGTATGCCCGGAAATAATGACGCTAGTACAAATTTCTAACCGAACACGGATAAACGATTAACGGACCAAACACAACTGCTGATAATTCACAAGTAAATTTTGATTTTTCGTAATTCGATAGAGTTGTACAGAAACCTTTCTACTTGCTCTTAAATACAGTCTCAGTCTCAGTTACCGAGGCCTTCCCGAAAAACTGCTGCATATTTCTCTCGTAGGCGCTCGATAGCCACAGTTTTAAGAGCTGTTGTCTTGTGTATCGTGACACTTGCACAAATCTGGTTGACCGGAACATGAAGTAGGTTGAAACGCTCAATCCAGTCCAGACCCAGAAGATTCAAATTCTGGTGGCTCGTGACAAAAATCGTTCTGCATGCGATAACGTCGGAATAATGACACTCACAATCGACTTGACCAATCAATTGCAACTCGGTACCTGATGCACTTTTCGCCTGCTGATTTGTAGGTTTGATTTTTGATGACCCGACAGTTCTCCACAGTCTTTCTGATATAATCGTAATGTCTGAAGCCGTATCTATATGCAAACGCGCCTGTCTCCCATTGATGTTGATGTTAATGTACTTCCTACGATCTCCGACATCGTCAGTAAAATTAGCGTTCACTCTTCTCGCGAAACCACCGTAGGTTTTCCTCCGTGCATCATAAACCGGTCTGAAAAATGGCTTGGATATGCAATGAGTTTATCTGTGCCCACGTCTACGACATTTCTGATAGATTTGCTTGTTGAATGGACAGTATCTAACAAAATGCCAGTCGCCGCATTGCCAACATGCTGATGGTGGCTTACTTTGAGGGGTTTTCTTGTGATTAGTGGCCGGAAACTTGTTCCTCGAAATCGGCTGAACTGCGAAATCACTGGAATGCGCCTTCGTATCCTCGACCATAGCTGTATCGTGTTTTAAATTGATGATTCTCTGGGCCTCGGCAATGACAGGTTGCAGTGGGACGTCCAAATCTCGCTCCAACAACCCAAGTATTCTGGTTCGGATGTCGGCATTCTTGGGAGATTGGAGGCAGCAATCAGAGACTCAAACTGGTCTTCTGTAAGTGATTTCAGCTTGAATTTCTGACACTCTCGCTTCACTGTTGATGCATGGGCAACAAGACTGTCGCTGTCTACCTTACACAGCTTCAGGCGATTGCACCGATTATTGAAAAGCGATGCCTGATCGCCGAACATCTCCGTAAGTCGGGAAATGGTTTCATCAAAGCTGAAATCTTGAGCACATTTTGGCAAAATGTAATTGATGTATCTGTCGTGCTCCACAGTTCCGAGTTTACGTAGCAGCAGCCGTACTTTTGACGCATCATCAAGATTTACCAACACCGTCTTGAAGATATCTTCGTAACGGCTGAAGCATGCATCGAAAATCAGTCCTGAAGCGGGATCAAAAACAAACCCACTGACACTGTTGATTATTGCATCAACTGAAGGCTTCTCAGCAGTGTGGACTGATGTAGACTGGAGCGATAGTGTTCGAGTGAAAGTCTCGATCATACGCAGCTGTGCTGCCTCGAATCGCTGCTGCCATTGAAGCAAAATAACTTTCAGCTCTTCTGCCGACATTGACATTTTGAATAACTCCACTCGCGTAGCCAAAAGTAAGCGCATTCGAATCAGATTTATTAGCTCTACACAGTGAACCATCATACTGTTAAAGATTCAAGAATCCAGCAATACTAGCAGCTTTAAGAGACTCTTGAGCAAAAACGCACGAGCACATAAGCACTTTTGAGCCGATACAGAAATATCGACGCTCTCCAACGATCACAAGCTTATCTGTCGACAGTGTGAAGGAATTTGTGCGCGCTTATAATGTGTCCGTAGTTCGTACACAAAATCAGTTACAGTCCCGACGTCGATCGATCGGTGGTGTGCACAAACAACCGTGATCTACACTCAGCATCGAAAATCGGACGGCTGACTGACCGACAGGAGACAATGGAAGTGCATGGTATCCGAGAACATGACCCACCTCAGGTGTAAGTCAGACTTAGGTGTTAAAGCAGCTGAGACTGGGTAATGTGTTCTAATTGCTTCAAAGCATTTCACTCAAAACAGATGGGTATGGGTGTTGCTCACCCAAAAACACAGCATTGCAGTGCAGTGCGACAAGTGGCAAATTTCGGTCGCTTCGGACAAATGCGGAATTTTAACGTATCAATGTGGACTTAAAAAAGACACCATGCACCTTTGCAGAAAATCAATTCCAGTTCGCAACAAAATACGTGAGTTGGGTATCCATTAGTTAAGCGCTTTCAAGTATAGGGGCAGATTGAATTAATGGCAGCCAAAGTCCGCGTACAAAGGAGATTCAACTTGTTTATAGAAAACCGCTGCCAAGGAATTCGTAATAAGTGCAGCAGGAGAGATGGCAAATGTCAAATAAAAAGCGTACCTTGGATTTCATTTCATAAACTCTGAGGGCATTCTGGTATTCCTTTTGCAAATCCTTAGCTTGGCTAGCGTGAAATACAATTTCTCTTAATTTGTGCTTCCCCACAGCATGCAAAGTTCTCTTGAATTTGAAAAACTGTAACAAAGATGAGAAAGAATACGGGCTATTCCAAAGTGTTCACAAAGAAAAAGGAAAATTTGAAAATCAGTTGATGATATAACCTGTGGATTTAATGACTAAAACCTGTCACCCACACAGCAAAGTGCATTGGGTGTAGCTATTGTCGCGAAAAACAGTACAAATACAAGCAATTACGGAAAGAGCCGTGTTGCAACCATCTGAGAGAAGGAGCAGAAGCAGAAGAGTAAATATAAGGGCAGCAAGGAGTTCGTGACCGCGATGCGTCCGTTGCGAATTACAACTGGTGTGGAGCATCGTGAGGAGCACAGACTGGAAACAGAAGGGAAATACCGTGACGACGGAGTTGTTTTGTCAAACGATATCACGATTTCCGTGCAGTCTCATAAAAAGAACGTAAGTAATCCGACTTAAGGTGGAGATTCGAGAAACTCACGCACATAACGTGATACTCAGGATCCCTTCAATAAGTCAGTCGAACTCCGGGCACTTTAAGTGGCGGAAATGTGGTTGTACGCGGGGATTACAGCGCAAGGCTGAGATGTAGGGAGTGTCGACTGTCCGAAACAACCGCTTAGACGAAAGCATAGGGAATTTGTAATATTATAGTGACCGAAAGTGTGGATCAATGGACGATCCAGGGATGTCGGTTGCTGGCTCACAACAGTGTTATCTGCGGCAAGGATACAATGAAATATCTGGCAGTAGCCGTCTGTCGCACATATTCCGATTTCAACTCGAGATGAATTCCCACGTCATCCGCGAAAAAGTATTGTGATCGAGACAGTTACATTATTATTTCACGCAAATTCAACGTACAGCTCGATATTACGTAGTGATGCCTTGAAGTTTATTGCAAACATTCCACCGTACAACTGTATGAATCCGACCTTAAAACTAAAGGAGAAAATTAACTATCTTTGTAAAAAGGGACGCAGTATGTACGATACAGTGACACAGAAGTTATTACGGCGCAGTGGAAAAGCAACCCATCATATCTTTGGCGTGGAATAATCAAAAGAACTCATTTTTGACGTGAAGCCATACAGTACAATGTCCGCTTCGAATACGCTGGGGTAATTGCTAGTGATTGCAGAAATAACGCATCATCGATAGCGTGTGAATAGGGTTCATTGGAAGATTCAGCAATTTGACCACTACTGCGGCAGAAACCAAGCCTCGTTCTGCAAAAACACCATCATGCAACAGAAGCAGAACTCAAAATGGACAACAGGAATGACTGAAGTATTGGAAGCTTACAGGTTCAACTGTGGTTATGAAAACTGGAGCAAATAGCTCATCAAGCGTGAGCACTGTGTCACACATGAATGTGAGGGAAAAGCAACAATTCGGGGATAAATGACCAGAAAGTCTCGTGTAAATGAGCTGTTATACATGCACATCAACGATCCTTGCTAACGGAAGCACGGCTACCAGGATGTCCCGCGTACTAAGCACTAAACCGACTGATCTGATGACGTCAATTATCGGTGATAAACGAATGCTATTGGCTCGTATGGCGCAGTAGCTACTGCTTGCAATATAAGCAGTAAGCTAAAATTGATCTCTTTCACCTGGAGATACTAATTACTTGCAGATGATTAAATGAAGCGGTCTAAGAAGTATTGCTGGATTCCATTCTCACCATGAGCTCGTAACGTGGGGACCCAGAGCTGGTATGTAAGTTAAACTGACTTTTTCACCCAAAAGGATTGAATAAGTTGCGATGATCTGGCAATGTGCGATGCATGCTCATCTACCGGTGACCGAAAGATAAACTGCAGACGTAGGATAGCATAAGCATGCAGGAGGGTGTAATGGATCTAGTAACAAGTAGCTGCAGCTACCGGTTCATTTAAACAACTATGGTCTGACCACCGAATAAAGAGGACTCAAGTCCAGGACCAATGATTTCACTGCTGCTGATTGTCCCACCATCCTGTCTGGGGTCCATGAGACCAATCCTCAATAAACAACGAATTTAAACGCGTTAAGAAGCGTTAATGTACAAGACCCGTTAGATAGTGGTTGGAATATCGAAATAATATAAGGTATGTAATCCCACCAGCCCACCAACTAGAGCATGTTCCGGGAAGTTGCATAAAAGGTCTAAAATTTTACAAAGAATGCGCAAAAGGTTGCATAGAAAGTACAAAAGTTTGCAAAGCCCAAAACGCTGCAAAACCCTGTGCGATTCGGCAGCCGCTCAGAGCCAATCCTCTGACCTTAAGTGTGTTCTCATTGGCCGAATGCCAAGGTTCTGTGCGTTAGTCTGGGGAGGTGAGCGCACTGCCCGTTGACTGGGTGAGACTTGCGAATGAACCTTAGAGGCATACACTTCGGCAGTGCAACGGGTTTGTATGCATCCCCCTTCACGTCAAAAACGGTGGATCACAATTGATCTGGGAGCAATGAACAACTGGAACATAAGCGCACGACCGAAACCATGTCTATGATACTAACGTTGTCGGCATGCCTTCTCGCTTTCGACAGTATTTCATCAGACTGAGTTTTGGGCGCCTTCGTCAACGGTGATGACTGGCAGCTGGTGGCAACTGTGAACAACGTCAAATATCAAACAGCCTACTCTTGGATTCGTCGTTCACTTGATCAGGAGCCGAATACTACGTAGGCGCGTGGTCGTAAGCGGATTCTGTCGGAGGAAGACGTAGATAACATCCTGGATTGGATCGCAAGGGACACAACTCTTACGCTACGGGAAATGCGAGTACGAGAAGAAAAGGACAAGGACATTTCGAAGTCAACAATCGCACGGCATCTGGACGGTCGATTGATAACTATGAAGAACATCTATCAGGTTTCCGAGGGAATGACCAATGAGCGAGCCAAAGGGATACGCAGGGAATTCGTTCGACAGTTTCTCCAATTTGAGAGCGACGGCAAGTTAGTCATTTGGATTGACGAAGCGAACTTCATCGTTTACTGTAAACGTACTCGTGATCGGGCATCCAGAGGAATGAGGGTCTGTTGCAAATTTGCCAACAATAGAGGCCTCAATTTGCATTTCATCGGTGCACTCACGATAGAAGGGAAAGTGTCGATGACCACCCGGAGAGTCTCATTCACAGGTCCCCTATCTCTCGAATGGCTGCGAAGCTATTTCGACAACCTGAAATGGGAGATGGAGTTCCAGCAGGTTGTCATGGTATGTGATAATGCACCATGTCACACAGGACTGGAAGAACTGTCGTCAGTAGATGGATGCGATGGAGTAACCATACTGAGATTGAGCACATACTCTCTGTTCCTCAATCCGATCGAGAACGTCTGGCAAATGGTGAAGACCAGAGTGAAGAAGGAGATGCGAGTGCACCACGACGAAGTACTGGCCGGGGATCGCCAGAAACTCATGACACAGATGGAATGGAGACTGCAGTTCCTTGAACGCATTGCCGGAGCAGCCACCAAGGATAGCAGCGTTGTGGGATGTCGTAGTGCTATTCGACATAGGCGTATACATTTTCCTAATTGTCCAGAAAAAAGGACATGTTTTGATCACGTTGCTGGCCTATTTTTTACGTATCAGGTTGTATAGCACGTCATTGGCAGTGCGTAGGGACGTGTGAGTATTCACAGTGTTTCCAAAATATGTATGCACATACGTAAGTTTGTGTGTTCGTACAGGGGTTGAAGCGATATCTGATGTCTAGCGCAAGGGAGTGACACGGGACCGGCTTCCAGTGAGCCATGCCCGAGTGATTTGTTCAACTTATGGTCCTTTTCGTATCGATATTCGCTGCGCCGTACTCTTTCATGATCAGCCTGAGATAACGTAGATACAGTTTCTTGGTTCGGAAAACTAGGATGTTTGGAAAACGCATTATAGGACCAAGTGAGCTTGCCGGGTGAAATAACCGTCAGATATATCACAGTGTGGGATATCAACGTGGATAGTTGAATAGTAGTGAAGAGGAAATTACTACGCACGTCATGTCAGCCTTTTCCAAGAGTGAGAGGAACTGATAGATGCGCAGATGTGAGTTCGCAAACCCGTCCATTTCCAGATAAGATGTGGTCATTGAAGCTGAACGAATGAATCGCGTATCTAATGGAAACCGTCTCTACGCGATGTTTTTCCGTTGTATTTGAGTGCAGTAGAGCGTTAATTCGTTATGCTATTGGATGTTGGTCTGTCAAGTCCGGAACACACATCAGCGGGTTCGGAAGCTATACTTTAGATTCAAAAGCAACCATTCTTACAGCAAACCCAATTTAATTTGCTTGCCAGGAAGGCCCCAATAGCTGTCCAGTACGACTTGGATACTGTCTTGATCGTTCCGACGATTCCTCGTTTGACTCAATAGCGTGCGTAAACAAATGGGGGTGCAGTTGGCGTGGATACAGTGGCGTAGCAACTACTTTTTCTTTTCGTGGCGGACGTACAATTGCTGCGATCTTCGCAGTTGTAAAGCCCACAATTGAAATTGTCATTCAATATTTCGTTTCGCATAACAACAATCACAGATTTAATTTTAGGGTTCTGTCATGAATGTAGCTACTTGAATTGTTAAAATACCCGTGTTCAAAATTTATAGGTACACTTTTCGTGCACTACTTGGAGACGCTGGTATCCGAGCTGAATAAGCACACATCGAACGCAATTGAACATTACTGGTCGAAAATCCGGCAGACTTTGTTAGCAGTGGGTATGTCTTAATGTGGAAATCAAATCGCCAACCTGGACATTGGGTCATTACGCAGTCTCAGAAAGTCAGAGACGCTTGCCAATGTGTTCCGACTGATAGTGAACACAAGGTGACTCGAAAAGATTTCAGGGCGAAACTACTTGCTAACCTGAAAAGAGACCGGGAAGCCTGGTGGCCGAGTGGTCTGCACGCCTGGCTTGCAGTCATAAGGTCACCGGTTCGAATCTATTTTCCTGGCCTGCCTTGTCATGCTGGATATCTTCTCGGTGCTCACCCAGTGTCTGAAACCCCTGTCCGTCGAAAAAATTGACTATCCCCTTGACTAAGCGATACAGTTAGCCAATACCATGGACAGCATGATCAAGTGTCACGATAACTGATTATTTGTGACAAATGTCATTACCTGTCGTGAAAGTGCGAAATACTGTCAAGCAGCTGGTTTATCTACGGCACATATATCTCTCAACACAACTTGGGTGCGCAAGAATCCGTTACTTCAACTTTTATAGCGGTTGTCGAAATGATTCTATGTTGTTAAACGTGGTACTGACAGAACATTAGGGAGGGGATTTTGAGGAAGGGGGGGAAGATGGGGAGGAGGGGGGGATTAGAAAGTGAGGGGATAGAGAGAGGGAAAGAGAGAGGAGAGGGGGGGGAAGAAGATGAGGGGGGAGGGGGTGGGGGGAGAGAAGGAGAGGAGAGAAAGAAAAGAGGGAGAGGGGAGGGGAGGAGGGGGGGGAGGAGGAGGGGAGGGAGGAGAGGGGAGGAGGGAGGAGGGGAGGGAGGAGGGGAGGAGGAGGGAAGAGGGAGGGGGAGAGGGAGGAGAGGAGGAGGAGGAGAGGGAGGGGAGGAGGAGGAGGGGGGGGGAGGGGGGAGGGAGGGGAGGAGGGGGAGGAGAGGGAAGGGGGGGAGGGAGAGGAGAGAGGGGGAGAGGACAGAGAGGGAGAGGAGAGAGGGGGAGAGGAGGGGGGAGGGAGGAGGGGGAGGAGGGGGGAGGGAGAGGGGGGGAGGAGGGAGAGGAGAGGAGGGAGGGAGGGGGAGAGGGAGGAGGGGGGGGGGGGGGGGAGGGGGGGGGGGGGGGGGGAGGGGGGGGGGGGGGGGGGGGGGGGGGGGGGGGGGAGGGGGGGGGAGGGGGGGGGGGGGGGGAGGGGGGGGGGGGGGGGGGGGGGAGGGGGGGGGGGGGGGGGAGGGGGGGGGGGGGGGGGGGGGGGGGGGGGAGGGGGGGGGGGGGGGGGGGGGGGGAGGGGGGGGGGGGGGGGGGGAGGAGAGGGGGGGGGGGAGGGAGGGGGGGGGGGGGGGTAGGGGGGGGAGGAAAGGGGGGGGGGGGGGGGGGGGGAGGGGGGGGGGGGGGGGGAGGGGGGGGGGGGGGGGGGGGGGGGGGGGGGGGAGGGGGGGGGGGGGGGGGGGGGGGGGGGGGGGGGGAGGGGGGGGAGGGGGGGGGGGGGGGGGGGGGAGGGGGGGGGAGGGGGGGGGGGGGAGGGGGGGGGGGGGGGGGGGGGGGGAGGGGGGGGAGGGGGGGGGGGGGGGGGGGAGGGGGGGGGAGGGGGGGGGGGGGGGGGGGGGGGGGGGGGAGGGGGGGGGGGGGGGGGAGGGGGGGAGGGGGGGGGGGGGGGGGGGGGGAGGGGGGGGGGGGGGGGAGGGGGGGGGGGGGGGGGGGGGGGGGGGGGGGGGGGGGGGGGGGGGGGAGGGGGGGGGGGGGGGGGGGGGAGGGGGGGGGGGGGGGGGGGAGGGGGGGGGGGGGGGGGGGGAGGGGGGGGGGGGGGGGGGGGAGGGGGGGGGGGGGGGGGGGGGGGGGGGGAGGGGGGGGGGGGGGGGGGGGGGGGGGGGGGGGGGGGGAGGGGGGGGGGGGGGGGGGGGGGGGGGGGGGAGGGGGGGGGGGGGGGGAGGGGGGGGGGGGGGGGGGGGGGGGGGGGGGGAGGGGGGGGGGGGGGAGGGGGGGGGGGGGGGGGGGGGGGGGAGGGAGGAGGAGAGTTAAGCTGGACGGCAGATGATGAGGGCAGATGGGGAGGAGGGGAGGGGGGGAGGGGTGGGGGGTGGGCGGGGAGGAGGAGGTGGGGGGGGGATGGAGGGGGGGGGGGGGAGAGGGGGGAGGGGGGGTGGGGGGGGGGGGATCAAGCGAAATTTTAACGTCTTACTACATCTATCGACTCATAAGAATCGTAGCTTGGACGAAACCGCAAAAATGCTCACCATTGTGTGATTCATTGTATTGCGTGGGCAGGATACTGTCAGGTTGCCCAGGCCTAGACAAGAGAACGATTAGGGTCCTCAACCAAAGCCTTTGGTTCAAAAACCTGACCGCAAGGCAGCGGGTTTGGCGTTGGACTACAAGGAGTCCGTTTTAAGGAATAAGGTGCCACCCTCATTCCAACCCCCAACCTGGAGGACCAGGAGGCTGAGTTTGTCTGACCTCTAACCATTGACCAATCTGGTATGAGTGACTCTGAAGGTGCAAAAGCACCACCCAGCATAGCTCAATGGATCTCTGAGGCACGCAAACCATCGCACCACGGTAAGGTCCAGCCTCACTGCGGTGGATAATTTCACGCTGCACCCACTTAGGTACATGTTCCCTTACACTGGAATTCAACATTCTCTCGGTACGGCCTATGTAGCGTGACTCGCAGCTACAAGTGAATTGGTACGTGCAGTGTAAAATGCTGCCTAAAGCTTGTCTTTCCTTCGTTGGGGGAACAGGCACTTTGTTGGTTCGGTTAATAAGCACAGCTTCAGCAGCGAAATAAGTCCTGTGAACAGCGAAAATTAATCGCTTGGTTGTCCTCATGGTGGCAAGATCACCTTTAAACGGTAGTTCTATAAAGATCTTCTTTTTAGCCACAGTGGGGACTTTTTCTCTCGTCACTCTCGTCTGGCTATGTTTAACGATAAACCGGCGAGGATAACCGTTTTTCAAGAGCGTATTATTCAACAGCTCCTGTTCCTCTTCCAGGCAATCGGGGCTGCATACTCTTCTTGCGCGATTGAACAAGGCCTTGACTAGTGTCCGCTTGTACCGCATTGGAGTGAAGCTGGTAAAATGCAGGTATTGCCCGGACCATGTCGGTTTTCGATAAACAGATCGTTTGATGAGACCGTTTTCTCTACGACTAATCAGTGCGTCCAAAAATGGGAGACGGTTGTTACATTCTACTTCACTGGTTACTCTCAAATTTGTATGTTAACATCTGCCAGCTTTCGTCTTCTCACAGCGTTGTTTAAGATGAGGCATTGTTTCATCTGCATGGAACAATGAAACATTACTCTTGGGCTACTAGCAACCCACGAAAATTTGCCGCATCACGTATGCACCACAGTGTAAAACTGATGGTTTGGGCCGGATTAACAAGCCAGAGAATCTTGGGCCCATATTTCTTTTCCGGGAATGTGACCGGTAGGTTGTTGTTTTGAAGTACTAAAGCCTTATCTTCTCCTAGCATCGTCGTACTTGGAAATGCTGCAGAGATTTGTGCTTCTCCAGTTGGATGTCGAAGGGGCATGCAGTACCATTTGGTGGCAGCAGCATGGTGCACCTGCACATTCCGCTAAAACGGTGCGTGCTTACCTAACGGACAGATTTGGCCACCATTGAAGCGGACGTGGTGGACCAATGGAGTGGCCTGCTCGCTCACCAGATTTAAACGTTTTTCTATGGCGCTATCTGAAGCGGCGAGTGTATAAAACAAAGCCGCGTACATTGGACCAATTGAAAGAAAATATTGTGAAGAAATGTCGCGCGATCACGAGGGATACATTGGAGAAAGTGCACGCCAATTGCATCAAGCGGTTTCTGCACTGCAAGCAGAACGCCGGTGGACATTTTGAACATAACCTTCACTAGCATAGATGATCGTTCTGATACATTTCTGTTAATATACTTATCCTCTTTCACAAATGTGTTAACGACTAAACGCGTCTGCTGACATATGGTGCTAATGATGCGTCCGGTCGGATAGAATTCTTAACGTCCAGACTGTCGTTGAGCACATAAACAGCGTAGGCACCGAAACGTTCGATGGCTACTTATGGCGGAATCGCTGAGTCGCCATGAGCTGAGGTTCGTCCAGCCTTAATGAAAAGCCGACTGTGTTGTTGACTCAGTTTCAGGCTGTTGCCTGTGAAGTTGGTGTTTGAGATGAGTTGCAGTAGGTGGCAACATGTGTAAGTGGGGTCGTTCCGTATCTGGTAGACTAATATGAGGTCTCCACGTAGCCACCCATAGCGTCTACTGAACAATCCGAGTGTTTTTAGTCGCTGCTGGTGGGAAAGATTGCACAAACCCTTTACATATTTTGTTGCTCGATCATGGTGAGTTTCGAGCGCTGCAAAGTCACGGTTTAGTCAAGCGTGCCAAGCCTGGATTGCGTATACAACTTGTTAACGCACGTAGGCATGGAGCAGCATAGAGAAGATGAATGAATCAAAACTTTCGAATGCCATCCGCAAGCTAACAACGTGCTGGCTACCACTTTTGAAACGGATTCCGACTGTCTGGAATAAGCGAAGTCATCCTGCACCAGCACACTGAGGTCAAGTTCCTGAGGGCTTGTCTGCAGGTCATATGCCCCAATATTCTAGAGATAGGCGTGTCTTTGACTTATGTCGACAATGTGTCACTTGACCACATGTAATGACAGTGAATTCCTTACCGGTCAATGCCAGGTCCCATCTAGGTCACATATGGAGGATCTTGTGGTCGTCCATTCTCTTGATCGCCGGCCAACTGTTAACGTCATCCGGAAAAGCAAAATTTTTGAGGTGATGGCTCTTGCAAGATCGTCGCACTCCACTCGATTAGGGTCGGGCAGAGATGTACCGACTATAACACAGAACTGCTGTTCACTGAGAAAATTACCAACCCATCCTAACAATGCATCGCCTACGTTTTCCAAGTAGCCCATCATTACGTGACTTTGAAAGGGCAGAGAGAAGTGTTACCGGACGGTAATTGGTAGGATCAGACGGACTTCTTTGAAAGAATCCGGCAATTGGCTGGGCTAGGTGAGTGGCTGCTGCCTGTAGTGCTTTAGGGTGAAGGTTATCCGCCCCAGGAAAGCTGCGTGTATGCAAGGACAGTAGCATTCTCAAAAACGTTTTTGCTATGAAGTTGATACTGGATAACCCTGATGGTGTGGGGACAGAAGTAAGTATAAAGTTTGAGGCTAGTACCCCCTGGAAAGTAGGCTAGTGCTGGGCAATGAGGCGATGTCCGCCTGTTTTCTTGTCCGTGTGTACCCACCAATCGTACTGAGTGGTGCGATTCCACGCTGCAACACTCGAAGTGTATTTACGTGTCGGTAAATAAGGCTATGGTTCGAAAGGAATTGTTTCGCTAGCTCCAGTCGGTATGATAACTTGTTTTCACGAACCAACTGTACAAATTATTTGCTCAGAGATACGTACGCTGTCTCATTCGCCGTATCAGAATTGCTTATGTGAAGGCGCCATGTGTTCCCCCAAAGGCCATAGCTCTTCATATTTGGCTTTTCATTAATAATAATGGTTTCATGTGATGGCGAAAGTCTCACCCAGTCAACGGGCAGTGCGCTCACCTCCCCAGACTAATGCACAGAACCTTGGCATTCGGCCAATGAGAACACACTTAAGGTCAGAGGATTGGCTCTGAGCGGCTGCCGAATCGCACAGGGTTTTGCAGCGTTTTGGGCTTTGCAAACTTTTGTACTTTCTATGCAACCTTTTGCGCATTCTTTGTAAAATTTTAGACCTTTTATGCAACTTTGCGGGAAATGCTCTAGAAACAGAACTAACAAAAACCATGAAGATCAGGGGATACGGGGAAGTCAAAGCATCATATCCATGGCGGCATAATAGTTGAAGGTGAGCAACACACTTTAGCTAATATGCCGCAGGAAGAAAGGATCATATCGAAAATGTAGTATGTTAGTTAGTTTTGCTCATGCCAATTTTTCTCCTTTTTGTTAGTTTCAATGTTTGAAGTATTAAACATGTGAATCATTACAATATTGTATGCAATTCTTCCACTGATTCCGTTTGCAGCCACTGACACTCCTCATCTTTGGTTCCCTATCATGGAAGACGTACGGATCCAACAGCGCCTAGACAAGATTTCAGCGATTTCATGTGCTGCCGCCATGTAAAAGGCTGACCACCACGCGGTCGCCTCCAGCCTGGTCCTTGACGAGTGAATAGAGCGTGATGTGGTAGTATCTCAGGTGTCATGCGCAGGACGTGACCGAGCCATCTAAACTGGCGCAGCAAAACTAGTTTGTTGAAGGGAATACTCGCATCCCCTAAGATGCGACGTCGAACGTCATTACTATTAACTCGATGTTGCCACCAAACACGAGCAATCCTCCTTAAGCAACTGTTATCGAAGGCAGAAAGACGACGCATGTCTTCTACGCGAATCGGCCAGGGCTCGCTCTCATACAATAACACTGACCGAAAAGATACGCTGCAAACGCGGCGCATTAGCGAGAATGAGACGTCGCGAAGACGCCATAAGTGCCTCAGATTGACAAATGCTGATCGAGCTTTAGCGATACGAAGAGAAACTTTGCTGATTGTGTCTTCAGCAGAAACACAGCTCCCAAAGTAGACGAAACTATTTACCTGTTCAAGTTGTGCGCCTTCGAGAGTGAGCACGGGAGCAAGTGAAAGCCAATCCTTGAGCAGTACCTTACACTTCGATGGGGCGAAGCTCATGCAATACTTAGATGCTTCAACCTCCAAACGATCCAGAATGAGTTGCATACCCTGAGGATCTCCACCAATTAAGGCGATATCATCAGCATAATCTAAGTCGGTCGCGCGCTCACCCGGTAGAAGCTCTAAGACAAAATGTTGGAAACCTTCTAGAGCATTCGACAGGACGCCTTTGATTGCGAAGTTAATGAGGAATGGGGACATAGGGCAGCCCTGTCGCACAGCGAATTACGAGGAAAGCTTGCCATAGACCCTCACTCTGCCGGATGTATGAAGGTAAAGTGCTCGTAA